ACTGTGCCAGAGATCGACCCTGTCACCTTCAAATGGCGTGTGTGCCTCGCTATGGAAACAAGCGTAATAAGAACATGACCCCTAGGAGCATTTCTATGACGGCACCCCAAAAAAAGAACCTTTTAAAAAGGTGTCTTCATTGGTCATGTCTATCGTACAGCTCGAAATCCACAACTATGGAATACGGACATAATTCATCGCAAACAATTGAATAGATAGATAGATAGATAGACAGACAGACAGACAGACAGACAGACAGACAGACAGACAGACAGAAAGACAGACAGACAGACAGACAGACAGACAGACAGACAGACAGACAGACAGACAAATAGATAGATAGATAGATAGATAGATAGATAGATAGATAGATAGATAGATAGATAGATAGATAGATAGATAGATAGATAGATAGATAGATAGATAGATAGATAGATAGATAGATAGATAGATAGATAGATAGATAGATAGATAGATAGATAGATAGATAGATAGATAGATAGATAGATAGATAGATAGATAGATAGATAGATAGATAGATAGATAGATAGATAGATAGATAGATAGATAGATAGATAGATAGATAGATAGATAGAACAGGGATTTTGGCAGACACTACAATCGGGGGAAAGGCAAAACGGTCGTGTAATTAAACTGCTGCTATAACTATTTGGAACTCATCGCTGGCTGCTGAAGATAACGACTTAGCTCATATGGGCATGTTTCGAGGGCTGTAACGTAGATTCATGACTCAGCATTGATTCTATTTGAGACGACGAAAAAAAAAAAAAATCCTTAAAAATATTATTTGTTTCATATAATTCACCTTCACACAGAGAAACAAACCCAGCCCAGCCTCCAGTTACAGTTTTTAACGTGCCCATACTATGGTGCAGGAATAACTGCAGATGATACTACATAACTTGTCTTTCCAAAGATGAGTGCTCTAGAGCTCCGGAATCAAGGAAATAGGCTGTTTGCCGCTCGCAAATACGACGATGCTATCACCTGTTACACCAAGGCTATCGTAAGTTCCCAGGAAATTCATTTTCGTCTAAACATTTCCAAAAGTTCGTAAAAATATGGCTGAACGACAATGTTGACATCTGTGGACAGAAACGAAACAATGGTTGTGTGGTTGGGACAGGATCGATTTGTTTGTTGTTGGACTAGTTAATCAGCTTATTGTACTGCCAGATCTGATATGGGACAGTGAAATCACATATTTAGTTGGGCTTGTAGATATGTTCATCTTCAGCATTCTGAGCATTAAGGTATGATAATGATAGTAGTAGTAGCTACAGAAGCACCCGCCTCCATCCATCTACGATTTTAATTAGCCTTCTGCTTCTACTAACTACTTCTACTAGTGATTAAGTAGGGATACTAGCTTAGTAAAGTTTTGTAAATTGGATTTTTACTTATGAAGCCATTAGAGCCAGACATAGATTAAAATTACAAATCCAACAATACCTTGTTGAAACCTTAAGTCGGTTTGGCTATCCCCCGAATAACGGGCACAAATTATGGTGGCCTCAGTCATGTGTCAATTGCGTACTTCCTGCGACTTAATTTGCGAATTACCAGCGACTACCGCCACCGCCTAGAGTATCCCCCATGACGCTCATGCGGCGTGGATTGGGGTTAAACTAGATGTCTAGGACTCACAAGCAGCAGCTTCCACATCTCCTTGAAGCTTTGCTTGTTTGTGAGTCCCAGCCATCTAGTTTATTCCTAATCCATGCCGCATGAGCAGCGTGGGGGATACTTGTGACGGTAGTTGCCAGAAGTCCACAAATTAAGTCGCCGGAAGTTCGCAATTTACATATGATGGGGCCCTGTTTTTGGCCGCCATAATATGTGCCTGTTATTCAGAGGATAGCCATTGGCTTTAGGAGGAGATATCAACAGTTCGCTATCCTCCAAATAACGGTTCTAAATTATCGAGGCGAAAAATATACCCTAACAGGGCCTCATTCTTGTGTCTATTGCGCACTTCCGTCGTCTTAAATTGTGCGCTTCCAGCGACATCCGTCAGTATCCCCCACGATGCTCACGCAGCGTGGATTGGGGCTAAACTAGATGGCTGGGACTCACGAGCAGCAGCTACCGCATCTCCTGCAGCTTCCTTCATTTTATTTGCTCGCGATCCTGAGCCATCTAGTTCAGCCCCAATCCACGCTGCGTGAGCATCGTGGGGGATCCTCGCGGAAGTTGCTAGAAGTTCACAATGCCACGGTGGCATTATAGTCCCTGGAAGCGCGCATTTTACACATGACTGGGGCCCTGTTAGGGTATATTTTCCGCCTCGATAATTTAGGACCGTTATTGGGAGGATAGCCCAACATTTTAGTGGCAGATACCATCATCATAGACAACCAAATTAAAGTAGGAGGGTAAGTCGAGTAAGTCACAAATAGTAGTTAAAAAAAAAAACGGCTCTCCTCCAAACTTCTACCCTATATTGTGGCAGCCAAACAAAAAACCTAACTGGGCCTCAGTCATGTGTAAAATGCAGACTTTCTGCCAAGGAACAAATCACGGCAAAACTAGGATTACTTGACAGTTTCAAGAGACGCAACACTGCAGACGAAAGTACCAGATAATAATAGCAACCGTTGACAATTTCGAGCGTTTTTGCAGATGATACTAGCAGACGATGACAGCGACCATTGACAATTTCAAGACAAGCAACAATACAGATGATAATAGCCACATGGCAGGGAGACCACACGCTCCGACACAGATTAGTGTCGTCGTTGTCCTCACAATTTTCGGCATGCACAAAACGCGGTTAAACTCACTGCCGACAGTATCCCCTGCTCTGCTACGCGCGGCGCGGATGGGGATCTAAACTAGATGCCTGGGACTCACGATCAAATAAATTAGAGGAAGTTGCAAGAGATGCGGTAGCTGCTGCTTGTGAGTCCCAACCTTCTAGTTTAGCCCCCCATCCGCGGCGCGCACAGCGTCGCGGAGGATACTGTTGGCGGTGCGGCATAGTTGCAGAAACATGTCCGCAATAACAATATCGCAGAGACCCTGTTATAGCATTTGTTATTCGGAGCTGATCCTAGTTTTGCTGCGATTTGTTCCTTTGCAGAAAGTCCACATTTTACACCCAACTGAGGCCCTGTTAGGCTATTTGCTTGGCCGCCATAATATCGGGTAGAAATTCGGAGAAGAGCAAAAAAAAAAAAAAAAAGATGTTAACTTGAAAACATTTATTTTTACACATACATTGTCCGGCTATCCTCCAAATAACGGCAACATATTATGGCGGCCAAAAATACACCCTGGCAGGGCCTGGAAGCGCGCATTTGACACATGACTGGGGCCCTGTTAGGGTATATTTTCCGCCTCGATAATTTAGGACCGTTATTGGGAGGATAGCCCAACATTTTAGTGGCAGATACCATCATCATAGACAACCAAATTAAAGTAGGAGGGTAAGTCAATGAGTAAGTCACAAATAGTAGTTTAAAAAAAAACGGCTCTCCTCCAAACTTCTACCCTATATTGTGGCAGCCAAACAAAAAACCTAACTGGGCCTCAGTCATGTGTAAAATGCAGACTTTCTGCCAAGGAACAAATCACGGCAAAACTAGGATTACTTGACAGTTTCAAGAGACGCAACACTGCAGACGAAAGTACCAGACAATAATAGCAACCGTTGACAATTTTGAGCGTTTCTGCAGATGATACTAGCAGACGATGACAGCGACCATTGACAATTTCAAGACAAGCAACAATACAGATTTTCATAGAGCAGATAGATTCATGAGAGCAGTTAGACTCCTTTTCCAGTAGTGATATCTCGTTGTGGGTAACAAGGTCATGCATTGTTTGTGGTGATAGCATCTGCCGCGACACTTTCAGCCCTCGCTCAGCATGTGCTGCAAAATCTTTGGCATCAGGAGACAGGGACTCTAAACAGCTCTGTACGTGAGAGTGGTAGGTGTGAGCTCAGAGCTTATTCAATGAAACATGTAAAGGCGCATCTAGGGATTGTAAAACTAGAGTGGCTTAGTTTCAAATAAGGAGCCTTACCGCTCCTTTTGATTTTAAAGATTATGTTTGTGTATTCCACGGGCGTTTTGGTTGATGTGTTCTTTAGCAGATTCATCTGTCAACAGCCTGCAATGCAGACATAGATTAACACCCCAGACAAGCAGATCTTTTACAGGTTGTCAATGGCATACCACAGCAGGCTAATGGGGAAAGTTTAAAATCAGATCAGATTAAAAAATAAGATTATAAATCAATATTAATTCTTTGTAGAAGTGAGATGTGTACTTCTTGCAACCAAATTTCTAGCATGTAAAAAAGTAAGTAAAAAAGTAAAGATCCCTTTTCACGCCTTTCGGCGCATCGGGCATATGGGCAGAGCGTCCCATATTTTTACATACCATCAGCACTCTGTGGGTAATTTAGCATGAAATGAATTGTTAATCAAAAAGTAGATTAGCAAAAAAATTGTTTGGAGGCTGTGGAGATGTGGTTTTATAGACAAATGAGGAGAATACTCGACTCAATGGACACCTAAACAGAATACAGCCACAACACTCCCCAGAGTGCCAGCTATGTAACTACCCCTAGGAAACTGTTGAACACCATCTCTTTGAGTGCCCAAAACTCAGTGAGACAAGAAGAACGCTACTCCCTTCGAGACCAGACAAGTGGAACACCTTGTACGGAGGAAAATAACAGCTTGTCAAAACATGCAAATTCCACTACATGGCATTGGGCCAAAGGGCGAAAGCTCATGCGCCGCTGGATCAATAACAACAACAACATAGACAAAAATAGAGTAATGAAGATGTCTTGAAAGACACTGACACACGAAGAAAACTGATTGCCTGCATCAGAAAGAGACATCTACATTCTTTGGGCATATGATGAGAAGGAGAAAACTGGAGAACATCGTAACATTAGGAAAGTTGGAGGGAAGGAGAGATAGAGGGAGACTAAGAGACAATATGCTCTGCAGTTTGACATCATGACATCGAGGATCATGTGTGTCAGCGTTGATTAAAAGTACACGAGACAGAAGGTTGTCGATGGATATGACTACCAACGCCACATTTCATGGACTTTAAGAAGAAGTAGAAACAGGTTGACTGTCTGTCTGGCGCAGACAGGTTGGATTGGAAGCAAAAATAGTGATGCCACTAAAATATGTTTTTAACACTTTCAATAAACCAATGCTTATGAAATTTCCCATACTTATATAAAAATGAACACAGAATTTAAAAACAAAAACGCTAATTGTCTAAATCTGGCTAATTTAGAAGGCATTTGTAAACTTACTTACCATGAAATACACTGTATACTGCCAAACAATTTCAAGGATAATCTGTAAGATGTCATCAAGCAGTTGTTGTTCATGTTAACTTATGAGAGTGTGTGAAGAGAAATTGAAAGATTCTTTACTTCCTATGTGGGTTACAGGAACCCATTTTATGTCTCTCTCTCTCACACACACACCCACCCACCCGTGCGCGCGCAGACACACACACATACACACACAATTTGACCAGCTGTTCCTTTCTTCTTCTTCTTCTTTGCATTCACCGGCTGTGAACTCTGGTGGAAAGTCCTTGTTTGTTGTTCACCCACTTTTGGACATTAGTTTTATTTCAGAACTTGAGTTTCACATGCAGGTCCGTTTTGCAAATCTGGCTTATTTGTTTGCAGACTGTTGGTTCCTGGCATCTCAGGCAGATGCAGTCTGACTTTGAAGGAAAAACCCTTAGTCAGTCAGCTTTTACGACATGCTAATTAGGGGTACAGTGGTTCTATCTTTTCTCGCCCACAGTCGGGCCCCGGAACCCACACGGTTCCCTAACAGTCATGTGTTAGGCTGAAAGCTGCAGATTTTGTTGCCTAGCTGTAAACCACAACACAATGAGCCCGCCACTGTTTTAAGAACTAATGCAAAAGAAGAAGAATGCTTTATAAAATTTACAAGTATATGTGTCTTTAAATTTGCCTGTCACATTTATTTTGTTTTGTAGATCAAGAACCCAAACACAGCCCTATTTTTCACAAACCGAGCATTATGTTATCTCAAGTTACGACAGTGGGAGAAAGCTCTTCTGGATTGTCAGAGGGCTCTGGAAATCGATCGGTCATGGGTGAAAGGTCATTTCTTCATGGGCCAGTCATATTTTGAACAAGGTCTGTACGATGAAGCAATTGCCGCATTGAAGCGAGGTGAGTGTCATGATAGAAGCAGTTCTTGTTCTTGTGTTTCTACCATCTTCTTAAAGTCCATGCTGTGGGGTGTTGGTAGTCATGTCTGTCCACAACCTTCTGTCTCGTGTATTTTCAGTCAACGCTGATACAGATGGCGCTTCCGGTCAAAATGAACGCAAGGCATGGTCACTGTTTTGAGTCTTGGCAAATTCTTTGCTTATACCAGAAACTGGCGTTGCATTTTTGCTCTTTTTGTAGACTGAAAGGATATAGTTTTGTCGCCAAGCTACTGGGTTGAGTACATGGCGCGACACTGTGAGCTGAGATTTTCATTTGGAATGCTTTTCTACTGTCACCTACTTGGTGCTGGGAATTGTAGATTCAGAAAATGGCGCGTGGCCTGTCGTTCGAAATATTAGTGGTGCCTTTATGCTGATCTGTTGGTAACTTCTGCTACTGTCGATGGTAAACTGCATTTCTAACGTCAAACTGTTTGTGCTAGCACTTCTGATTACTACTGTATGCTGTTAATGTGTGTGTGCTAGTGCATATGACGAGACAGCAGTCTGTCAGTCTTTACACAAGGAACTCTGATGAACATTCTGTCTGTTTGTTGTTGGCACAGGAGAGGTGCAACTGTGGAATGACCCTTTTGCTATGAAGCTGAAACTAAGATTATTAAGATTGCCAAGATGATTTTCCATGCCATGATGTCAAACTGTCCAGCATCTATTCTCTCAGTCTCCCTCTGCCTCTTGTCCCCTCCAACTTTCCTCCTGTCACGATGTACTCCAGTTTTCCCCTCCCTTCTCATCACATGACCAAAGAATATAGATTGTCTCTTTCTGACATGGGCAGTCAGTTCTCTTCATGAGTCAGTTTCTTTCAAAATGTCTTCATTACTCTTTTATACATCTAGGGTATTCTCATCATTCATCTATAAAACTACATTTCTACGGCTTCCAAAAACGTTTGTCCTAATTTACCATTTTCCGTATGTTGACGGCTGCCGAGTGCACACCAGTATTCACCAGTCTGGGGTGGAATACAGAATCCTGCTTTTTATACCACACATAGCATCACTTCTGTCCAGTACTGAACCCGTCATATCATCTGACGTGTCCCCCAAATAATCTGCACGCTTATTGCCTTGAACACCCGCATTTCCCATCACAAAGATTAAATTTAGGCTAGCCTGTGACAGAGTGTTGACAGAATCAGTCAAATCTTGTCTGATGTATCCAGTCTAGATTTTCTTCTAGTTTAAAATAAGTGTTACCTACTGTTAGGCAGAGTAAGATTGTACTTTGGCCAGCATCTACTGAAACTCCATGCAGTGTGTTGTTGACAGGACATCCAATTTTTTCTGATGAAGCCAGTCTAGATTTTCTTCTAGTTTAAATAAAATATGTGCTACCTACTATTAGACCAAGTAAGATGTATTCTGGGCTGCGTCTGCTGAAACTCCATGTTTTGGTTAAATAATTAATATAAGCAGAAGTCAGGTCTGGGTCAGATATGACTGAGGTACTATATAACAATAATTGGTACTACCTGTTGTCTGTTAAAGCTAAATGATAGCGGTCGTATACCAAACCTGAAATCCCACATAGTGCCAATGGCTTTAGGTGGAGTAGCCTTATTTTAGGAATGTTGAATTAAATTTCGACATCACAGCACTCAGGAGACTCCCATAATTGCTCCGTCCCCATCTTCGGCAGCAGACGAAGTTCCAGTTCCAATGGTACCAGTATATGTATCCATCTCGCCTTTCCCATGAGTGTTGAGCAGGGGCCAGATCCCCTGGTAACTCCTTGCAGCGCCATTCTCCTCAGACCGTAATGATCTGTTCGGCTTCCCCACTGTTTACTCGCTCCCAGAGGACCCTCACAGTATCTAGCTTTGTCATAGATCAATTCTAGGAAGAAAAAAATGCAGCTTGAAAACCTACTGTTATGTCAAGGCAGTCTGAGTCCTTAGCCTTGGTTGGCTGCTGGTCTAGGATCGAAGCTCTGACAGAGCACTGCTCTTCTGACCCATCAACTTCTGCAGCATGTTTTGATCCAAACATGTTGGTGTTACCCGTCCTTTGGAGTAAACAAGGCAGACTGAGAAGAATCATGCTGCGTAGAAAATAAAGGGTCTGTACAACAGTGTCAGGTTTTCTACTGTGTGGATAAGAGAAACTTCATCTCTAGCCTTAATTGGCTGTGATTAACAGAAAATAACACTGTTCAGAAAGAATGGAAAACTGATGAATAACATTTGGGTGATAGTGCTGTGAATAAAACCTGGATGACAGTGCTGTGAATAAAACCAGGATGACAGTGCTGTAAATAACATCTGAAGGATAGTGCTGTGAATAAAACCTGGATGACGGTGCTGTGAATAACATCTGAAGGATAGTGCTGTGAATAAAACCTGGATGACAGTGCTGTGAATAAAACCTGGATGACAGTGCTGTGAATAACATTTGGGTTATAGTACTGTGAATAAAACCTGGATGACAGTGCTGTGAATAACATCTGAAGGATCGTGCTGTGAATAAAACCTGGATGACAGAGCTGTGAATAACATCTGAAGGATAGTGCTGGGAATAAAACCTGGATGACAGTGCTGTGAATAAAACCTGGAGAACAATGGTAGGGTTAAAATGGGGATGATAATGGTAGATATAAAACCTTGATGGCGCCAGTGAGAATAAAACGTGGAGAACAGTGGTATGAATAAAATGTGGATGACAGTCCATGAAATCGAACTGGGGCAGTTGTGTTTGGAAGAGATCCTGGATGACTGCGTTGGGAATAAACACTTGAAGACTAGTTTCTGAAATGATTCTTTAACTGCGGCATCACCACAGTTCTCAAATGCAGATTACACATGTAGCTTATTTTCATGTCTGTGTAAATTCTGTTGATAGCTTTTTGTCTGCCTTTCTTTGGAAAGATTGATGAAAAAATGTGATAAAGAAAGACGTCATGATCAATCAGTGGGACCTCAACCTCAGCGGTTCTCAAACTTTTTTTTCCCTGCTGTGGCACCCTTGTCAGGATTTATTTTTTTCCGCAGCATACCAACCTTTACAGCGGTTTGAATACTTTGGAACAGAAGAAGAAACAATGCACATTTAATGCTTAGTTGTCTTTAATGCAATGAATAAAACTAGATACATTTTATATAATTTCCTTTATGTTAATGGGAAGTTTAGTTAATTTTTACCTGAAATCATTTGACCCAGAAAGTTTACTTCTGTATCTGTTTTGTAATATAAGCGTACATTGAGAATGGACTGCAGCCTTGGCAATAGCCTTGTCTTGTGAATACACCTGCATCCTGTACTCGTCTTGGCTTCCTTCATACTATTTCTTTTTTAAGCTGCTGTCTTCGCTGATCTCCAGCAGATATGGAAAATTATAGATTATTGCCGCGGCACCCCTGGCATACACTGGTGGCACCCCTGGGTGCCGTGGTACCCACTTTATGAACCGCTGCTCTACCTGTTGTTGCTCTCATCGCAGCACACCGGCTAGTGTTTTTCTAGCCAATTCTTCAGCCCTGCGTACTTTCATAGCTAGTGATTCTACAGTGTCTTGTATCTGACTTCGCAGAAGTCTGCCTGTGCTTCCTTTTCCAGAAACGGGACCCTCCATCATCATCATCGTCTCCAAGCTACCATGATGTTCAACATGGCTGAGATAGCTCAGGTTTATAGGCGGCTGTTTGTGAGCCATTTCTTCTGATGCTCAGATCACTCAGGATGTCAGGGTTTGTTGTCCTTGGCATTCTGGGAAGACAGCAGGGGAACATTTTTGACAGCCTTTTGTGTGTGTGTGTGAGTGAGTGTGTGATTGTTTGTGTGGTGTTGGTGTGTGTGTGTGTTAGTGTGTGTGATTGTTTGTGTGAGTGGGTGTGTGTGTGTGTGTGTGTGGGGTTAAGGCATTGAAATGTAGCGCACTGGCAGACACATACATCTAAGTAAGCACATACTGTTAAAAGTAGCAAGTTGTGGAAAGGCATGATTGCCGATGCCAGTCGGCAAGGTTCTTGGTGTTGATATGTTTGCTGAATGTGTAAATCATTTTATTTTCAGCGCATGAGTTGGCTAAGGAGCAGAAGCTGAATTTTGGCGATGACATCACGAGTGCCCTGAGGGTGGCCAAGAAGCGCAGATGGAACCTGATCGAGGAGAAGAGGATACAGCAGGAGATAGATCTGCAATCTTACTTAAACAGGCTTATCACAGAAGACAAGGAAAGGTGAGTCTCGTTTCTGTGCACTGGGAATAACCAGCTAAGGTGATGCAGTGGCTGGGCACTGAAGATCAGGGTCGATTCTGTATCATCAGATTTGTGTATAGTTAACCTAGGCTCTGAGGTCGATCATACCTAAAATAGGTACCATGAATCATCTTGAGTGATAGATGGAATGTTGAGGCTGTAGCTGCCAGCATCTGTGTTAGCACACACTAAGGCTCACACCCGATGACCCTTCAAAACTTGATGCTGAAAGTCAGAACAGAACTTGAGTAGAAGAAGAAACATCCTGGGACATAAAGGTGGCTGATATAATGTTGACCATTTCAGCTGTCGACTTCTGGCCTAAAATGTTGGAGACATGGCAGAATGTTACGCTTTAGGGTTGTATTTTACAGAATATTTTTTCCATTCTGATCTGCAGGTTGAGCTTTTTAGTCGCGTTTGATGTAATATTTAGCACGTTTGTCATCTGCTTGACGGTGGTCACCTTCTGTTCACACTACTTTTGAGAAGCATGGTAGCATAGTGGCTAGGTGGTCACCTGCAGACCATTAGGTCTTGGGTTCAAATCCACATCAAGGCACATTTCTTTTTTCAAAATGACATTGGCCGCCAGGTTGACCCGGTCTCAAAAGGTAAGCGGGTAAAATTGATGGGAGTAAACTGACTGATGTGACGTTGACCATGTCACCCACTGAGTTCACGTGCTATCCACAGTGATAGTAGTTAGTGCACTGTAGCCAACCTTTATTGGGGAGAAGGCAAAATGTTATTAACCATATAAATGTTCTTCCTATACATTCATCTGCAAATGAACCTTGTCAAGTTGAATTGAGTTTTACAGCTATCTGTGTCTTTCGATATCAAATTTCAGTCAACCCTTCTTCTTCATGTTCTTCTCCTTCTCCTCCTCCTCCTTCTTCTTCTTCTTCTTCTTCTTCTTCTTCTTCTTCTTCTTCTTCTTCTTCTTCTTCTTCTTCTTCTTCTTCTTCTTCTTCTTCTCCTCCTCCTCCTCCTTCTTCTTTTTTCTTCTTTTTCTTCTTCTTCTTCTTCTTCTTCTTCTTCTTCTTCTTCTTCTTCTTCTTCTTCTTCTATTTCTGCCTCCTTAATTTTTTTTCTTCTCCTCCTCCTCCTCTTCTTCTTCTTCTTTTTCTTGTTCTTCGTGTTCCCTAGTTGAAACTCCGGCAGAAAATTATGGTTGTTCACCCATTTGTGGATTATAATCTTGTTCCAGAACTTGCATGCACATCTGTTTTACATATCTGGTTCATTTGTTTGCAGACTTTTGTTTCCTTGACTCTCAGGCAGATCAACTCTGACCTTGCAGATAGCATCCTTAATTAGTCGACTTTTACAACATGCCTTTTAGGGGGGGCAGTGGGTTAGTTCCCCTCCCCCTCCCTTTCCCCCACATAGGGCCCACGACACCCACACAGAAAAGTTCCAGTCAGAGAAGAAGTGAGAATAATATTCTGACACTGAATAGGCCCGGAGTCGCCGTGGCAGAGCAGCTAGATGCTCGCCTGCGGATCGGCAGGTCGTGAGTTTGCTATCTGGCGGAGCCGAACTTTTAAAAAAAAAATGACCTTGGCTTCCAGGTCAACCCAACCTTAAGTGGGTACCGGGTGCAGTCCTAGGAAGTAAAGGCGGCCAGCATGATGCTGACCACATCACCCATCTTGTGCTGATTGGACTATAAAATATAGGTTTAGCCCTATATGCCCTATACGCCTTAAGGCATGGAAAAGGGTCCTTTACTTTCTTTTTACTGGATACGGCACACGTTAACAACAATCTAATAATAGTACTTTAGAATATCTTTTTTATTAGAACTCACGGAATGCAAGAGGTCGAATGAAACCTTAAAAACACTTTGGGAGATGTTTCCAGTGTGCTTTGTTTTTACAGATAATTGAATTTCATTGCTTCTGATATTCCCTCAGAAAAATTGACTCCTTGAAGAATGACTCAGGAATGGCCAGTTCCGAAGATGTGGAAGCAATAGTCGAGGATGCTGTAAGTATAACGGACATTTCCTCTGCATCATCATCAGTTGAAAATCTACCCAAAGAATTTCAGGATCCTATCCGATGCTACGGAATTCGTGCACTGCGCTGAGATTCTTCGTACTCAGGCTTGAATTATAAGTAGAATGAAGCACTTATGGGTTACTACCCTTGTGCCATGATGTTGATGTGTTGTATAAACCATAAGCCAAACCATTATCAGTCATATTGCATTGGCTTATTGCGAGTGAGTAGTACTCTCTCTCAGTGGCTCTCAACCTTCCCAAAGCTGTGACCCTCTAATACAGTTCCCTCACATTGTGGCAACCCCCTAACAATTATTCTCCTTCATAACTTCAGTGAATATGTGTTGTCTGATGGTCTTAAGCGACCCCAGTGAAATGGTTGTTCGACCCCAAAAAAGGGTCATGACCGGCAGGTTGAGAACCGGTTAGTTAGTTAGTCTACAGATTATCCTCATTGCACATAGAACTACTCAGTCTATAAGTGCTCAGTTCCCCTCTTCAGTAAATCTCGCAGTGTGTAGCGACTAACAACGCCAGTTCTGTGTTGATTTATTCTTCTTCTTTGGCTACCCGCGTAGTGTTCTTGTTTGGCGACACCTTGTTTAACATGTTGTTCTTGCAGTCTGACCATGGTTGCAGATTCACAGTTCTCAGTTGGTTCACCAAACATCTTAACTCTCTTAGAGCATTCAGTACATGAGCCTGGTCCATGGCTTGTCCAGCTTTCACAGTAGCCTTACCTGCAAGTCTGTCAGCCTGCTCGTTTCCTTGTACCCCTACATATCCTGGCACGAAAACAAAACTAATCCTTGTCAGCCGTGAATTCTGTAGAGCCACCAACCACTGCCTTCGGACCCAGCCCTGGGAACCGCTGCCCTATGGTATAGGACCAGCAAGTAAGTTATAGTGTAAATATATCATGGACTCATACTTAGTGGAGAAAACAAATCAGAGCTTTTGAACTTGAAAGCTATTAAAACATTAGAATATGATAGACAAAGAAGAAGGAGAAACACTCACATCTTTCATAATTTGAACATCGACAAGAATTGGCTCATAATTAGAATCCTATCCCGAAAGCTGAGGTATTTTGACCATGTTGAACTTCATGGTGGCCCGGAGAGGTCTGTGATGGAATGTACATTTTCTGGACAACGAGGTGGAGGTGACCTTTGTGAAGGTGGATACAGGAAATTGAAGATGCATTGGCAATGAAAGCACATAGGGCTTAGAACCTGTAGGCATAAAAAGAAAGTCTCTGCAATATGTAAATGATGCGTGTCTGTGTTTGCATATATAAAACTAATAGATTGTTTCGGTTTTTTGGGGGGTTTTTGTATGTGTGAAAAATGTTTTTGTAATTATGTACAAATGAAACGGCAAGTGATATCATAATAATATTCTGTCATTCTGTAAAGAGCCTGTGAATGTACATATAAATTAAAAATTTCGCCTATGCATACAAAATGATGGTTTTTAGACCGAGAGATTCAATATGGCTGCTATTTATCTTATTTTCTATAGCTACCACTAAGTGCACAGTCAGTTTGACAGTATTTTATTGATTTGTAGTCTTCACTATAAAACTTTAAACTGTATCGGAACATAGAAATTAAATAGTGTATAATTTAGTTTATGTGTGTGCCAATTTAGTTTGTGTGCGTTCCCTGGCGGTAGGCGGAGGATCCCATTATATTCACATTTCTGCCTTACATTGCCCCAATTTTCCTGACGGAGGCGGAGGATCCCATTATATTAACATTTCTGCCTCACATTGCCTCAAAATCCTTGACGGTAGGCGGAGGATCCCATTATATTGACGTTTCTGCCTCACATTGCCTCAAGTTCCCTAACATTAGGCGTAGGATCCCATTATAGTAACATTTCTGCCTCACATTGTCTCAAGTTTCTTAACATTAGGCGGAGGATCCCATTATAGTAACATTTCTGCCTCACATTGTCCCAATTTTCCTGATGGTGGACTTCATTATAATGACATTTGCTATAGTCTCCTGACCGGTGCGGTCACTGCCGAGAAATGAAGGCTGCGGCAGACTATTGTCTTCACAATGCCAGCAATTGTCATGATATTACTACTTACTCACATCTTGATATGATTATTTTATATCTTTTTTTCTCGATATGATTTTTTTTTTTTAAATATTTCTCTTGATATGATTTTTATTTTTTTATTTTTCTTGATATGAATATTTTTTTCAACTTTTCTTGATAAGATTATTTTGTCTCTACTTTTCTAGAAATGATTATTTTGTTTCTGCTTTTCTTAATATAATTTTCACTTCTGGTTTTCTGTTTAGGACAAGAGAATAGCTGAAGTAAACAGTTTGTTTGCACAGTTGGATGACAGAAGAAAAGTAGGTTCATATTTATAGTGGTTTTGAAAAGGGGCGGGTGAGAATTGTGGTTACAAAATGAACAATGCTTGTTTGAAGGATATGCTTTATTGCATGGATAACATTTTTATCGTGGCCATAAAAAATGTCTCATCAGCTGATGTCAACTGTTATCCTGACAACTATACTTGTTTATTAATCTGATCTTCTTGTGGTCTATGCTGTGTGAAATTGTTAGTCTTTTCTATCCACAGCTTTTTCTTTTTTGTACTTTCAGTGGTTCCATGCTATGATTTTAAACTGTTCAGTATCTTCTTTCTCTTTCTGTCTCTTTTTCTCTTCCCCTCTAATTTTCCCCAACATCATGGCAGTTTTCTCTTGTTCTCATGTTTTGGGGTCTTTAAAAGCATCAGAAAGCCTGGAAACCCAGTCTTACCACCCTCTAAAATGTTGGACTGTCCTGTGATGTCATCTGGGGTAGGATTAACAAAGTACTGAAAAAGCCTTCCCATTGAAAAACAATTTATGGCTTCATTGTCTTTCATAACATGATGCCAGACTGTCCAGTTACTTCTCTCCTGGTCTCCTCCTGCCTTTCTTTCCCTCCAGCTTTTCCGCTGTCATGATGTACTCGCCATGTAACTTCCCCTTTTTAAAAAAAATACTTATAAGGATGTATCCCAAGAGTGTAAATTGTCTCTATATGTGAGTAATCAGTTTTCTTTGTGAGGTAATTTCTTTCAAGACATCTTCATAACCCCATGGCGTTCTCATTATAAATTTGCCCCTGACAGAAAAACTAAGATGATGGAGTTTTTCTGTAGGAGGCAGAATTAAACATCCTAACCTGCACAGTCCATGGCAACAGCACTAGCCATGCGGCCCTAAATCCTCAGGCTCATGACCTCTGTGTAAACTGCCCTGATTAAAGGTGTTAAAACAGAGTAGTGACGGTTCTCATCATTAATCTTTTAAAACGCATCCCTGCACTTGCATTTCCTTAATTATGAAGGCATAATATCAAACAGCATTGAAACATATGTACATTTAGTGAGAGGCAGCCATGGTGGTTTAGTGGCCTAACACTTAACCTCTGGCCCAAAGATCCTGTGTTTAAATCTGCAACAGGGTTGAATTTATTTTTCCCTAGAATTGCCTCAATTCCCAATTTAACCCAGTCTAAAATTGGTACCAGGTTATGTCCTTTAAAGTAAAGATGGCCGACTGGATGATCAATGCATCACCTCTCTACTTTGGTTTATAGGGATACTAGATTGAATTCCCCGACTTGGCCAAGGATGTGACTAAGTGTCCATGCTTCCATGCTGGTATACACTAGTCTAGCCACTACATTTTTGCGGCTCCGATCACACTGCTGTTAACATTTTTTTTTAAAAAGAGCAGTTAGTGTTTAGGCGTCAGGTATGGATTTTCAGGTTTATATTATGTAAGATAGATCTAGCACTGTATGCCCAATACGCCTGAAGGCATGAAAAGAGTCCTTTACTTTTGGTGATGATTAGGGAGGGCATTTGACAATATGTTCTTACTGCAGAAACGAGACGTGCCTGATTACCTCTGTGGGAAGATCAGTTTTGAGATCATGAGGGAGCCTGTGATTACACCCAGCGGCATCACCTACGATAAGAAAGACATCATTGAACACCTTCAGGTATGTGGCTCCTGATCCTTTCATTGAGATAATGGTATTGGTAGTAACACAGAGTATTGTTTCCATTGTACTTCTGACCTGTATAGTATCAGTCATCATCCTTATCATGATGTAGATGACTGGAAGAAGATTGGTCCCTCGCCAGGTCTCCTGCCTCATGCACTTTCCTGCCTCATGCACTCTCCTGGCTCATGCACTCTCCTGCCTCATGCTCTTTCCTGCCTCATGCACTCTCCTGGCTCATGCACTCTCCTGGCTCATGCACTCTCCGGGCTCATACACTCTCCTGCACAAGATATCTCTAATGTCCTGTGCCCATCTTTTGCGGGTCGTCCCATGCCCCTCTTACTTGGTACCTTGCCGTCCACTAGGTTTCTTTCTGATCCATAGTGACATTTGATGTGGCAAAAAAAAAGAAAATGTGCAAAAAAGCATCTGAATATTTCGACCAGTTTTTATCAGCATATAAAATGATGAAACCCTAACAGCAGTCCACATCCACAGAGGGGGAGTCAGTGAAGAACTATAAAAGAAATTTAAAAAGTTGGAATAGGAATAGGAAGAGCTGTTGCGAAATGCAGCATAAGCATAGGAACAAAAGTAATAATTTATTATATTTGTTTCGGATCATGGCAGCTGGATGCACAAAGGTCTTGGGTTCAAATTCATATGAAGCTGGATTTTTTTTTTAAATTACTTTTGCTCCCAAGTTAGCCAGCTGTAAAGTGGTTACCAGGTCAAGTCCTGGGATATAAAGATGGTTGTCCTGGTGTTGACCTCATCACTCATCAAAAGCCGATTGGTCTGTGAACTTATGAGTGAAGCATCATATGCCCGATCCTGGCATAAAAAGGGTGTTTTACTGAGTGTTATATTTAGTTTGCTGTCAATCTTCTTCAGCATTTCCAGCCTCTTCATTGCTGCAGATATCATCTGCCTCCAATTATCTCTCTGGTTGGCCTTCTCTTTCCAGTTGGTGGGATCAAGTGTTTTTAGGTCTGTCTAGATATTACCTCCATCGTTTTTCTTGGTCTGTAACCATTCAGAATTGTAGAGTATATAGTTTTTACCTCTCTGTCATCTGACATTCTTTCAATATATGCCCCAACCATTTCAGTTCATTAGCCCTCATGATGCTAAAGAACCGTGGTGATTTAAACAGATAATGAATTTTGTTGTTGCTTCTCACCCTCCATTCACATACCACAGGCCCAAGCCTAAACATAGAAAGATCATTAAAACAACACAATTTGCAATGATCCGCAGGCCACTTGCTAGGCCCTCGTGGGCCACCAGTTGAAAGCCCTGAACTATGGGGTGACCCATTTGCTATAGATTTGAAACTTCGATTACCTGATTTTATTCATTATTAAGGTTAATGTTTCTTGCATGCGGTTAATGTTTCTTGCATGCGGTTACTGTTTCTTGCATGCGGTTACTGTAGATGTAAAATCCTTGTATCTTTGCAGAGAGTGGGACATTTTGACCCGGTGACCCGAACAGACTTGACGCAGGAACAGCTGATTCCCAATTTTACCCTGAAAGAGGTTATCGACACTTACCTAGAGGAAAACCCCTGGGCTGAGGAGTATTAGCAGTGCTTGTACGCGTGTGTCTCCCCTCCCACATTTCTGGCCTCATCCAGTGATTGTTCTTGTTTAAGAAAAGGACAAATATGACAGGGTGAATTCCTGATTGGGTGAATTCCTGATTGGGTGAATTCCTGATTGGGTGAATTCCTGATTGGGTGAATTCCTGATTGGGTGAATTCTTTAGTTGTTTTATTTAGAAATTGTTTTGCTAGGTTAGTTGGCAAAAGGGGATGTATGTTGTTCTAGAATTGCGAGAGCTGTTATCAAAACAATGATTTTGAGCAAAGGAAACCTGTTCAACACATTTATTGCCTGGTGTATTGAACTGTATATTGTTAGCTGCAGAGATAAATAAGGTGAAACAAACAAATAAATCCTTTCAACTGAAAAACAGAAATCCATGACTCTCAGATGTAACTGCCGTGGTTGTGAACTTGTGCAGCCTTCTTCTGTCTTTTCTAACCCCTAATTGGTAATAGCCCCTCAGCCAACTCATGCCAAGTTGTTCTATCCTTCGCTTTCTCCATGTCCTCCCCATCCCCTGAAAGAAACTCGGACCACTAAAAGTAAAATTCTTCACTTCCTATTCTTCTTGTTTACCGGCAAAAACTTCAGCGGAAAGTTTCGGTTGGTCATCTACTTCTAGACTTTAGTCTTGTCTCAGAAGTTGAGTTTTCTGTGCACATCCATTTTACAAGTCTGGCTTAATGGTAAGCAGGCCGTTGGTTCCTTGCCTCTCAGGTAGATGCACACTGTCCTCGAGGGAAACATCCCCAATTCGTTAACTTTTATGATATGCTTTTAGGGGAGCAGTGAGTCTGTTCTGTTTTTTGACCTAAAAGGTACCCAAGGAACCAATACAGGGAAATTGTTTACCAAAACCACAGACTGCTGGCAGATTGTGGAGAGCGGCATTTGGTGTTTTGTAAAGTGTGCAGCTAAATTTAATTTAAAAACACATTTTGTATGGTTGCGGTAGTATACCCTTGGCGAGCTGCGGCAAAATATGCTAGGCTGTACATTGTTCAGTTTATTGTTTGTGTCTTCTTTGTTTAGAGTTGTTGATGTTGCAATCTCTGCGGTATTGGACCAAAATAAGATTGTCTGCTTTGAAAAACGTTTTGGATAAGGCTCTCTTCATCATCATTTTCATCATGTGCCCTGCCAGCTGGCGGAACTGCTCATGCAGTTCCACAGATCATGATCTTTATTTGCCTGGTACAGCTCTCTTGATGATATCCCTCCATGCCATTATTTCAGCCCATCCAGCATTATCTCTCTTTGTCTGTTTCAACCACTTTTTCCGCTGATCTTTCCAGTTGTCACAACGTTCTCCAGTGTCTCTCTTCTCATTACGTGGCCAAAGAACAGTCTTTGTCTCTTTCTTATTGTTGTTTACAGAGGTCTACTTTCATTAGCTTCTTTCAAACAATCGTTGTTAGTTACTCTCTTAGTCTCCTTTAACTCGTTGTGTCCCAGGGGGTTTAGCATCAGAGGCCCAAGGAGTAGTCAAGAGTGATGTAAAATCAGCGCATCATGCGTTCATTGGGCCTCTAGGTAGGAACCTATGAACGTATGATGCGTTCCTTGCAACTCAATTTTGTTTATTGGATAATTGTTTGGTTTCCTTTGGAGGCGCAGCAACCTCTGGTCGTCTGCTGCTTGCTTTAAATACATCCACATGGAACGTCTGAAAATGAAAGAAAAATACTCTTGAAGTCTTTTGCATCTCTCTCTCTCTCTCTCTCTCTCTCTCTCTCTCTCTCTCTCTCTCTCTCTCTCTCTCTCTCTCTCTCTCTCTCTCTCTCTCCTTCCCTCTCCCTCTCCCTATCCTTTTCCCTCTCCCTCTCCCTCCCTCTCTCTCCCCTCTCCCTCTCTCTCTCTCTCTCTCTCTCACTCTCTCTCGCAGGCCATGCACCACAGAAAACCTTGTCACATAGACATAATGGAAGCAGATCCAGAGTTCTGCCACACCAGCGATGGATAGATAGAATATCCCAGGCTGTAGATGTGAGCACTTCAACAGCACATATCAAGGCTGTCACCTGATGCCTCTTCAAAACCTGACACTGAAAGGCAACACAAGAACTAGAGAAGAAAAAGAAACCTGCTGTTCTTTTATTTTATTTAGTTGTTGATCACTTGGTTCTTTTACACATTTGTTTAGTTCTATGTCTTGCAATGCACTCTGAGTTCATTGTTTTACATATACCTCTAGTTCCGTGTCTTGCAATGCACTCTGAGTTAATTGTTTTACATATACCTCTAGTTCCGTGTCTTGCAATGCGCTCTAAGTTCATTGTTTTACATATACCTCTAGTTCTGTGTATTACAATGCACTCAAAGTTCATTGTATGTCACATAATATTTGCAACTCTCATGCAGTTGTCGCTGTGATATGTGGTTTCACCGCTTCGAAGTTAGTAGAATTATTCAACACTTAAGTCCTCAATGTACTGATGTTCAATCCCCCAGCAAAGAAGAGTCTAAATAGTATGGAGAGCATATTGAATGACACAGGTGTAGAACAAGTAAAGGATGTTTTCCTGTCACTTCTGGCTTATGATACTTGACTCTTATTTTGTAGTGATGATGTAAACAGGGGCTGATTGTAGTCAAGCTGATTGTAGTCAAGCTGACTGTAGTCAAGCTGATTGTAGTCAAGCTGATTGTAGTCAAGCTGACTGTAGTCACGCTGATTGTAGTCACGCTGATTGTAGTCACGCTGATTGTAGTCACGCTGATTGTAGTCTCGCTGATTGTAGTCATGCTGATTGTAGTCATGCCGATTGTAGTCATGCCGATTGTAGTCATGCTGATTGTAGTCATGCTGATTGTAGTCACGCTGATTGTAGTCACGCTGATTGTAGTCACGCTGATTGTAGTCACGCTGATTGTAGTCACGCTGATTGTAGTCAAGCTGACTGTAGTCATGCTGATTGTAGTCAAGCTGATTGCAAGAAATGCTAAATATAACACAAAATGTGACTAGAATGTTCAACAGGAGGGAATGGAAATGACGCACAGAAAGATAATATATGGGCAAACCTACAAACTGGAAAGAGATCACGATTGTGTTACATGGGATTAAAGTATGTTGAAGCACACCAGTGCCACCTTCGAGGCCAAGATAGGAGACATTCTAACTGACCTCTCATGGGAAACATTTGTAAAATACCTTGGAGTGGTTGCTGCATCAGATAAGTGAGCATGCCTGGGAATGCCCAATGTGCAGTGACGTCAATTGTCATAACTGGAAAGAGATGATTACCAGCTAAAAGGAGATTATCACCAGCTGACCAGCTTGAAGGAGATGATCACCAGCTGGAAGGAGATGATCACCCGCTGGAAGGAGATGATCACCAGCTGAAAGGAGATGATCACCAGCTGGAAGGAGATAATCACCAGCTGAAAGGAGATGATCACCAGCTGGAAGGAGATGATCACCAGCTGGAAGGAGATGATCACCAGCTGGAAGGAGATGATCACCAGCTGGAAGGAGATTATCACCAGCTGGAAGGAGATGATCACCAGCTGGAAGGAGATGATCACCAACTGAAAGGAGAGGATCACCAGTTGGAAGGAGATGATCACCAGCTGGAAGGAGAAAATCACCAGCTTGAAGGAGATGATCAGTCACATAGATGAATGGAAGCGGGTGCAGCAATAAACCTCAGGACCTTGCAATGCTGAGGATGAAGACAAACTATAATTAAGACAAGAATACTGATCTAACTTTGAGGCGAGATGGCAAACAGGGATCATCTGTGCATATGGGTAAGGCAGATGATGATGGAAAACAAAAGAATGTTAAACCAGAGAACTAGATTGTTGAGATGTTAGGGTTCCAGTTCTCTTTACTCTTGAGATACGGGTCCAGTGTCCTGGTGAAGTAATATTGTTTGATATTATTTTCCTTTTCTTTGTGTGTGTGTGAATGAATGAAATGGATGTGTGGTAAGGTAAACCAGTTCATTTTGAGACTTTGATCTCATTTAAAAGGGCTGTATCTAAATATTACATTGTAACATTGAAATATTCACAAATGTGTGAGCAGTCATGACATGTCATTTAAAATATATTCAGAATTGTCTTGTGTTTTGTTGTAATATATAATTCTTGATGATGCTTGGGGGAGGGGAGATGTTGCACCCACATATATGCATGTGAGATGGTACAAAGAGAGAGAATGACAGAGAGATTACTCGGGAAAACAATGTGAATCTGTTAGAAAAGAAATGTGAATTTAGAATTTGGAGTAAATAGACTGTTTGTGTGTGTGGGGGGGGGGGGGGGGGTCCTTACTAATGCAATAATTGATGTGTTACTGCAGTTAAATATCGGCTCTGTGGCTAAGTTGATGCGAACGCTTCGTAATGCCGGGATGCCGGGTTCGATCCCAGCTGCGGGCCATGCGCCTTGCGAGGGTTTCGACAGTGGTATCAAAAAAGCCGACCATCCAGAAAGCAATGGCAAACTACTGGAGTTGAATTTGGCTAGAAAAACTTCACAACAGCCAGGGGCTGTTGTGTGGTTGGTTATGCAATGTCCTGTAAAGGATACGCAACTGACCTAACTGCAGTCAAATATTGCTTTATAGTGCTAATGTTTTTTTTTCTTCTTTTTGATAATCTTCCTTTACTGATCATATTTACCACTTTTCGGCCAGTGTTGGATAGGAAGACCACGAGTGTGTGGCTTTAAGACCACATGGCTGTTGCAGTTGCCACCAACTGTGCAGGTTCAGATTTTTATTTTTTGCCCAGGCAGAAAAAAAAAATCTCCATTCTTTACCAAAACCTCGAACCTGGGTCTTCTGCTTGATAGACTAGAACTCTAACCACATGGCTGAGTGATGCCTGATAATTCCGCTCATAACTGATCGGGTTGTTGAATTGTTTGGGTAACTTAATGGGTTCATAAAATACATTGGTAATTGATTTAAAGGTTCTTCTGTAATATCCTACCCCAGATGACATCACGGGACAGTCCAACATTTTAGA